TCCACGCCGCCGCCTCCTCGTCCTCCTCGTCGTCGTCGTCGTCGGGGGGCAAAGGCAAGAAGTGCCTGGACAAGAACAGCAGCGAGTACCGCGTGCGCCGCGAGCGCAACAACATCGCCGTGCGCAAGAGCCGCGACAAGGCCAAGCAGCGCAACGCCGAGACGCAGCAGAAGGTGCTGGAGCTGAGCGCCGACAACGAGCGGCTCCGCAAGCGGGTCGAGCAGCTCACCCGCGAGCTCGACACTCTCCGCGGCATCTTCCGGCAGCTGCCCGAGAGCTCGCTCGTCAAGGCCATGGGCAGCTGCGCCTGAACACCCCGCCCGCCCCCCGGCCGGCCGAGCACCGGCTCCTCTCTCCTCCTGCCGCGGGCGCGACCGGCGCTCGGGGGCCCTCCGCTGTGCCCGGAAGGCCGGCCGCCACGTCGGGCAGCCCTTCGCCCGGAGAGGGGAGGAGGACGGAGCCTGCCGCGCCCCTCGCCGGCGCAAAAGAGCGGACGCGCTTCGACAGAACTTTGACCGGACCGGCCTGAGCCCCGTTGGCAGAGGTCCCGAATCGTGTGCCTTAGAGGGGGGGGGGCGTTCAGGGGGCCCCCCCGAAAAAAACCCCCCTGCTCCCGAGAGCCCCAAGGACCGCCCCGCTCGGGGACTCTGGCGGTGAAACGAGTCTGGACGGCTGGGGGCCAACCCAGGCAACGTGTGAACCCGCTTCAGTGCGGAGGGGGCGCGCGAAATCCGAGGCTGAGCCCAGCGGGTGGCTGCTGTGGCTGGGGAGGGGTTAGGGATTCTGCGGGTGCCCGGAGGGACGGCGTGCAATTGGGGACTGGGCGGCTGCTGGTTCCGAAAGAGGGGGGGGGGTCCCTCCCATGTCGGGAGCTCCCTCCCATGTCGGGAGAGCAGGCGGGGGTGGGAGAGGTGGATGCTCGGCGGAAGGGGCCGGCTAGACTCCTCTTCTCCGTGGGTGGACTGAAAACGCAGGACTCTGAAGGGAAACCGGCACCCGGGAATGGAAGTCTGGTTTAGGCTGGGGCACCTTCCACCCAACCGAAAACCAGCATTTTCCCTCTCTGTACTGTACGGTTAAAAAACTGTAGCGGAGCACAAAACTGAAGCTGAAAAATACCGATGGATGCGGGTATTGACTTCTTCTTCCACAACCCTGTTGGGTTTTTCCTGCTTGGTGCCTTCAGCCCTCTCCCTCCTTCCCTCCACACGCACCAAATCTGTGCCTTCTGTACTGTGAAAGCCAAGAGGACCCCTCCGTGGGTGCCGGCTGTATTTTGTATTTGATTGCTTGGAGCCTTGCCAGAGGGACAGGACCGCCCCCCCTCCTGTCACTTTCTCTCTCTCTCTTAAATTTAATGTCGCTTCTGGAGTTGACTTAACAATCCCCATGGGTGGACAATTGCCCCTGCACTGTGAATCCAGGAGATTCCCTGTGGTGTTTGCCAAGTTTGGAGGTGGGGGGGGGGAGGCCTGTTCTGCTCAGCGAGGACCTCTTCAGACCCCTCCCCCGCCCCCTTTCAGTGACCACTCTGAACCAGCCGGTGCATCTCCTACTAAGAATTTAGCAGGGAGGTTGAAACTTTTTTTTTTTAATGCCAAGTGTCAATGCTTATGGTACCAGGTGGTTGTTGTTTTCTTATTAGTGTGACACCTGGAAAATGTTATGCATTTTATATGAAAATGGTGTATTTTGGAACTCAAATGATAACAGAATGTTTAAGTTCTTGGTTAAAATTCATAAATAAAAATGCAAATATTCTGCCATAACTTAACATCTTCCTGTCTGTTTTCTGGGATTCCCGGTGAGAAAGGGGGAGCCCAAGGGATTACTGCTGTCAACTTTGGGTTTGTCCCAATCAGCTCCGCTCCCTGCTGCCCCATCAAGCTGTCAACAGCATTAAGGGCAGGATCCACCCCATTTGGGGGGACCACTGTGTGTGACCCCCTAGCAGCACTCCCCTTCATCTCAAAGGTGCTTGTGCAGGAGAAGTCCCCAAGGAGTTGCTTTCCAAGAGGTTAATTATCTGGTCCATCAAATACATGACTTGTAAGTTTCACTGTCACTAAAGGAACATCTCTAGGAATTAAGCCTTTGCAATATTGTTTTCATGTGTGCATTTCTTTAATGAACCAATAAGAATGTGTGCAAGGCAATCCTAACCATGTTTCCAAAGGAGCCCCAGGGGAAACGTCCCTTTGACCTCACTTAAGTAAATGTGTCCAGAAGCTGCCAGAGTGTTTTAATACTGGATGACTTCTCTGCTTTGCTATAATGGGGGAAAAACGATAGCAGTCTAGACCAGGGTCTGTTTTTGCTGATTCTGTGGACCTGGCTCAGATGTAAAGGTGAGGTCTGGAGGAGATTTTAATTTGTAACTAATGAGCTATGCCAATTCTGCATTTTGCGCTCTATGAGGTGATCGCATGGGTCTTTTAATGATACGTTACATATTTGCCAAAAGTGACACTGGGGTTAGAAACAGCAAACGTTTTTCCTCACTTTATTTGGGAGGGAAAAAGTGATCACAAGTTTTAAACGCAGTGCATTAGACATGCGGCTTTCATCTCGGAGTTGACCCCAAACACCCTTGCTTATGAGGAACTCCACCCAGCTCTAAATTTGCTTACACGATTGAAGTCAAAGTGGACTGTTCTTTGTGTGTGCAGTTGTTGTTCTCCCCCCCCCCCGCTCCCAAAAGCATCATGCAGTCCCATAAGGTCAGCATATTCCAAAAATACTCTTTTTAGAATGATGATTAAGGAGTGAATAATCCAAACAGACTTTTCACCCCAATCCTATGCATGTTTACGCAAAAGGAGGCTTCACTTAACACGCTAGAGCATATTTCAATTTCTTGGACTGCTTAGAAGTTGTAAGCTCAAGTTCATGCATAAGCATTTGGCAAACTCTCTTAGAAGACCAAATCTGCAGATAGCCATTGGTTTGCTCACCTGTGAAGAGTACAAATCATCTCGAGGGACCAGGTATTGGGGAAATTGGTGGTGGGGGGATTGGTCACAAACAATATAGTTGTGCGGGGGCAGTCTGAGTAGGAAAACAATCTTTAAGGGTTAGTAGTTTGGCACTTTAAAAAGCTATACACGCTAACTTGGGAGGATACCCCCAATGAAACTTGTGACTAAGCAGGATTGGGCTCTTTGATGTGTGGAGAGCAGGAGTGAAATGTAGTCAAGCCAGAGGTGCCTGGCAGTGTTCCCTCTAAGCTCAGATAGTGTGAGCTAGCTCACAGTTTTTTAGCCTCTGGCTCACACATTTTTGTCTTAGCTCAGGAAGGAGGGCTCCAGAGCAAACTAATTTATGCAGCAGCCGAATCACTCCCTCACAACTTTAATGCCAGTAGCTCACAACGTAGAATTTTTGCTCACAAGACTCCACACCTTAGGGGGAGCATTGGTGCCTGGATTGAGCCAAGCCATTTACAGACTGTTTAAATTCGTGGTTCAAATTCATAAATAAAATGCTAGTGTTCTGCCATAACTGACATCTTCCCGTTTGGCTTCTGTTTTCTGAGATTCCAGATGAGAAAGGCAGAGCCAAATAGATTACTTTTCTCAACTTCTGTTTTACCCAAATCAGCTCGGCTCCCTCCTGCCTGAAACCCTGACACTCACTGGACTTTCTGCAGCTGCTGCTTTTCCATCAGGTGACTACTTAGCCAAATTTCTACCTCATACCTCTCTTCTGCATAATTAGGGTTTTTTATTTTTTTGGTTTTCCAGTGGGAAAATGTACTAACGTCTTCATTAATATGGCCATAGACCAGCACAGGGTAGTTATCTGAGAAACTAGCACCTCTCCCTTAAACTTCTCAGCTTTTGTTCCTGACTTCTCTGTCATTTTCCTGCCTCTCCCCTAGTTCTTAGCTTTGTAGTAGGACAGGTCTAGGCTGTTCCTATTTCGATGTGTTTTTTTGGAAGAACAAGTAAAGGTGCTTCCCTGCCATGCAAAAAGACCAGCCGTGTGCATTTGTAAATGCTGGCACCTCTCCAAATCCCCAAAAGACAAACCTTGTTCCGTGTAAATCAGAGAATCCCAAACTGAAGAGGGCCTTGAAAAAAGCCCTCTTCCTCCATGCCCATCGGAAAGAGGAGCCCCCAATATGTGGGCGGTGCCAGCCTCTTGAGCAAAGAACTACTACTAAGGGCATATGGGGATGGCTTGAGGTTGCCCCTATCAAACTATAGCTAACAGGTGAGAGTCAACGGAAGTACCCTTGTTGACTTGATGGCCAGCTCTCATCCCTCGGCCCCGGCTGACAGGAGCAAAGGGAGAGACTTGCTGGGCTGTCCTGCAGGGTACCTGGTGGCAGTTCCGGGAGAGGCATGAGAAAATACCAACATGTCATCTGAGGGTAGCATGAAGAAGGCTTCCAGAAAGGAAATATTGTTTTGGGTTATCACATGTTTAGGAGATGGTGGCTTTGATAGTCACCAGCCAAAAAAAAAAAAACCCATTGCCAAAGAGCTGGCTATTAAAATACCTCCCTGAAGACTCTGTGATGGCTGGGATGCAACTGGCTTTTACAAGAAGGGAAAGGGCAAATGACTTGTTTCGTAATCCCATCAGAGCATGGAAAGGAGACGACTGCCTAGGCTGAGGTCTGCAGGGCCCCACTCTACGATCGATCCAGTCAGCTACAGCTGGAAGCTGGTTGGTGGAAGAGGAGGGAGAGGCCAGCTTTGCCCTCAATTGGGCACTCCAAGAAAGCTCTTTGCCATGCAAGAGCTGTAGGCCTTGGTGAAAAGGGGTGCCATTGCTAGACTTTATTTGTGGCATGGCACCTGGGTGGGGGAACACAAGCACTGCACACAGAGACGAGTTAATTTCAATGGGCACATGGCTACTGTTCCCCATTGAAACAAATGGTTTTTTGGGGGACGGATTTAGAACATAAGGAGCACAAGGCACACAGAGACAAGTTAATTTCAATGGGCACATGGCTACTTTTCCTCATTGAAACAAATGGGTTTTTTTTGGGACGGATTTAGAACATAAGGAGCACAAGTTATCACATCGTTGACACCCTTCAAGAATCAAAGGTTCTCTCAGGGTTGCCATCCTCCAGGTGGTGGCTGGAGATCTCTCACTGTTACAACTGATCTCCAGGTGACAGATATCAGTTGACTTTGGAATGTGGACTCTATGGCATTAAACCCACTGAAGTCCCTCCTCTCCCCAAGCCCTGCCCTCCTCAGGCTCCACCCCCAAAATTTATTTATTGAATTTAAACCCTCGATTCAGACAAAATGGGCTCCACGTATTTCCCAACCTGGAGCTGGCAACCCTCGATTTTCTCCATGTTTTCTGCAGAGCAACCATGCAAGGTAGGCTAGGATCAGCAAAAGACTGGCACAGGGTTACCTAGTAAACTTTCATGGGAAAGTGGAGATTTGAACTCTGGCAACACACACATACACGGCCCTGGTCAATACTCTAACCCTGCACCACACCCCCTCTAGGTATATCAATGGCCTTCTCTCCAAGGAGAAAGTTCCCTCTGCTTCTCTCTGTTCTTCCTTATCCATTCTGTGAAAGGCACCAGGCATAACTTGAGCCAGGTTTTTCTCAGGAT